GACTTTATTCTCGTAATGTTGAGACTTTATTCTCTTAATGTTAAGACTTTATTCTCATAATGCCATCCATTCCATCTATTTTCTGTCACGCTTATCCCAAGAGGGGGTGGTGAGGGATGCTGGTGCCCATCTCCAGCTGTTGACGGATGAGAGGCTGGGAATCGAACCCAGAACCTTCTTGCTGCAAGGCAGCAGTGCACTGCTGAGCAGCCCAAATATCATTCTCATAATGTTAAGAATTTATTCTGTTAGTTTAATTACTTAATTCTCTCAATAATACGACTTTATTCTCTCAATTTTATTACTTTATTCTAATGGTATCATGACTTTATTCTGGAACAAATCAAATCTCTAACATGGCCCTTCTACTCATCCTGTCATAGGGCCCCAGTAACTGAGGGCTCCTGGTATTTGCTGGTCTTTCTTCCACTCACTGATGTCTCCAGCAGGTAGAGAACGCAGACAGACGCGCTCTGAGCAGCCAGGTGTGAGATCACCTGATCCTCCTCCTGGAAGAGACGCACCTGGGGAAACAGAGCGGCTCGTGCATTAACCACTGACGTCATCTAGCGTGTTTCATTGCGGCTGTTTTAGCCTGATGTTTACCAGCTGAGGCATGAGGTCCATGTGTCCCAGCAGCAGGCTGAGGATGTCTGCATGGAGGCTCCGATCAGACACCGAGCAGCAGATCTTCTTCAGCAGCGTCAGACTCAAGCATGTCAGCTCCCACCTGCTGCTTTCTGCGCCTTCCTGTGTGTCCCCTCCCGGCTCCTGTCCACAAACTCCGCAGAAAATCAGCCTCCCGACTTCATGGTCGCTGAGTTTTGGACTCGATCCTGTGAGTAAAGACTGATGACAGTCGGTGAGACAGGAAAACAGCTCTTTGGTGGAGGGCAGCCCGGTTCTATCAGGGACATCCATGTTTTCATCTTTATAAAACTGATAAAATAATGTCAAAATAATTTTTTTGTCACTTTTCCATCTCGAATGGGTCTTGTTTTCCTTCTCTCCCCTATAAATGGTTATCCTGTCGGACTTTTCTTCTTCTTCTACTACTTTAATGCGATGGTGAAATGAAGTTGATGTGTCTTTACCGCCACCTACTGGATATGAGGGTGAAAGTCGTTGGAACGTAAACGCAAATAAAACTAATAAAGATTATAATATAATTACCGGTATGCCATATTTTTTCTCAGTATATAATAGAGAACAAATTTTCTCTTTAATTGGACCAGCTTTTAAAAAATGTTTTTTTTTTCTGATGCATTCTAAGATGACATGTTCATCAGTGTTTGATCGACTGCAATATGTTGGCATACCTGTTTGTTTGTTTTTTCTATTTGGAAATTTTGGGCTTTTTAATAGTGCATTTTATTCATGTGGTGAGCTACTACCGCCACCTAGTGGTGGTATTTTAAAATGTTTGAAATGGGGGAAGGGGGCATTTCTGCATACAGTAGAGCTGGATATAGTACCTCAAACATTTACTTAAGTAAGAATAACACTTCTGTAACATTTTTTACTCAAGTAAAATCTAGAAGTTAGTAATCTAAAAAAAAAGTATTATTCAATTAGGAGTAAAAGTATGTGGTGAAACAGAACCACTCAAGCATGGAGTAATCGTTGGCTTGCAAAATTTGATTTAATGTTTAGAATGATGTAATCAATCAGAGAGTCATCTGCAAATATAGGTTTTTAAAACTAAATATGAAATATAATTTAAAAAAACCTCTTCTTCAACCATTGCGGGCGGTCTTCCCCCTTTTATCCTCCAAGCTTGGGTCCTCTACCAGAGGCCTGGGAGCTTGAGGGTTCTGCTCAGTATCTTTGCTGTTCCTAGAACTGCACTCTTCTAGACTGAAATGTCTGATGTATTTCCAGAGATCTACTGTATATATATATATATATATATATATATATATATATATATATATATATATATATATATATATATATGAAGAAGGATCATTGCAAAAATCATTACAAAGTCCATTTTGGCAGAAGAAACACTTTTCCAAAGTTTTTCTCTTCTTTTTTGTCAGCAAAATCTTTTATAACAAATCTCAACTGTTTGTAATGTATGCATGTTCAGATATGTGAAGAATAAAGAACTTTCCTCTAAAATATCTGCTGTCAACTGTATTATCCTCTGATCTTCAGACCTGGACGATTCCTCCCCCCAGGGTTCCTTAAGGCTCTGGATGTCGTGTTGTTAACACAGATGCAATATTGCATTGAAATCAGGAGCAGTTCCCCTGGAAGGACAGACCAGACCTAGACCCTGATAAAGTCTATTCAGCGGTTCTGGAGAGGAGCGTTCATTGGATAGTCAAACAATGGCTTCAGGAGGAAGCCATTTTTTGACTGGATGGTCATGGAAAACCTCACATGCACCATCCAGGACAGTGGTCCTGGATGGTGCATGTGAGGTTTTCCAACCAGTCTAGGTGTGCTTTGAATAGTTAGAAACCACGTCCCTCTGGGGATCCTGTGTTGGGTATTCTGGCAGTTTGGGGTACCAGCCCCTTTGAGAAGGGCTGTCAGGTCTCAGTATGACCAGTGTCTGAGCTTGGACTCCATTGCCGACAATAAGCCAGAATCATTTCTAGAGACAGTTGGACTCTGCTAAGGTTGCTCTTTGTCCCTGATTGTTTTCATAACATTTATGGACAGAATTTCTAGGCACAGGTGTTAAAGCTGAAATCTGTAAGTTTTTAAAAATCACTTTTTTGTCATATTGGCTAAAACTGTCCCTATGCCCAGACAGCAGTACATGTGATATGTAACCTGTGAAAAAAACTGCTTCAATTGGTACCGCATACTGCCTGTATTTCAATCTGGAAAGAATAATTCGGGACGAGTCAAAACAACCAATCACAGCCAGAGGAGCGTCTGATGGAGTGTCAATCACAGCTCACACACGCTGAATCCCACCCCCCATCCATTTTTTAGACTGTGGGAGGAAGCCGGAGTACCCGGAGAGAACCCACGCATGCTCAGGGAGAACATGATAACACCATGCAGAAAGACCCTGGGTCGGGAATTAAGCAGCAGTGCTACCCACTGTGCCACTGAGCAGCCCTACATCACTTTATATCTAAGAATGATATTTTTACCCTCTTCTGTATAATAGCAAAAAGATAAATAAATGATAAATTAATAAAAAAAACATATCTTAAAACATTTTTTTACATTTTTCTCATTTCCGGGTTGCATTTCCCCCAATATTCACACTTACAAAATATTTTTTTTTTGCTTGCAACAATAATTACAACAAATTTCACTCCACTCCTTGGGAGCTTTTATTTTCCTTTCTTAGCACTGCTTCCTTTCACATCCGTCACTTTGTTTGTGGATTTAGGTCTAATCGAACAGATGCTTTTATTGTGAAGTATCAAATGGGCGGAAGTTTGGTTGTTTTTCCTGGTGAGGTCACACTGTTGTCACTGAGACTTTGTAGTCAAAGCTTTTTTGACAGCAAAATGAACTTTGACGGCGCTCCAATGTCCTGTTATTGAAGTTCCTCTGAACCTTGAGCTGGTTTGTTTTTTTTCTCTGGGATTAGAGCTGAAAGAAGCAGAAAAATGCAGCTTTGACAACTCCAGTCCTCCCTGGAGCTGATTGATTGGCTAAACGGCTGCTTAGCCTCTGCACAGTAAGTCTTTGTTTTACCGAAGCAGAAAGGCCGTTTTTGGCTTTATATTTACATTATCACCTTTATTATCGACACATCCTCTTTACTACCGTCAACTGGTCCCTGACTCTGCCCCTGAAGGCACAGACAAGCTAGCGAACTAACGCCCGAGAGTTAGTTAGCCTGCTGGCTAACTAGCATCAGCTAACAGCCTGGTAAAAATAACATCATCAAATCAGGTTTCTGTTGAACAATCTTCTTCTCTTTGATTGCAGACTCGGTATACATCTCATCGTGGGCAATCAGTTGTCATTATAATTGATCATTTAGAACAGTTAAAGGATAATTTAGTTTAAAAACAGCCACTTTGTTGGTTTCATTGTTTATTCATCAATCTCTGACATTAACCAGTTAAATCGTTTAATATTTGTTGTTGGGTCCAAACTACAGAGCTAAGCTTCAGTTTTACGGCCATCCATTGGATTTATAAAAAACAAAGCAGAAATTTAAACTGAATATTTAGTATCAAATGTATCAATTGCTTAAGAAAGAAAACAACACATTGATTATTTCATAACTGGGAGGGAAGTGTATCCACATATTCATCCTAAATATGCTGCTTCTTATTCTTAATTATTTTTATCTAACTAATTAGCATTTTGCTCTTAATTATAATAATTTTTTGCTTTCCACACTGTTGTAGTGTTGTTGTTATAATAGTGATCACTGTAGGAGGTGTATTCCTCATGCTCTGTGTGCTTTTTATCCTTGTGTTATCCACACATGTTAATCTCTGCCCCTTTGTTTTCTTTTTTTTGTCTGCAGTTCAAAATCACAAGGTCAAAGGTTAAAAAGCTAAACTACAGAACAGGACAGCTCAGAACTCAGTTCCTTCTTACGTAATTGATCAATTGTCAGAGGTGTCAAGTAACAAAGTACAAATACTTTGTTGCTGTACTTAAGTACACTTTTTAGGTATCTATACTTTACTCCATTACTTATTTTTCTTCCTACTTCTGACTTCTACTCATTACATTTTCACTAAAGTATCTGTACTTTCTATTCCTTATATTTTAAAACAAACGTTACTCGTTACTCTTAGCTTCAGTTTTATCTTCATAAATATTTATTTCACGTCATGTGCCCCATCCAATGCAGACCATTGGCTCCATCCACATCTAGTGAAAACTAGTGTAATTAGATGAGTCATATTACGCAAACACTCATTGGTTAGCTAAAGGAAATCATCAGAAGCAAGCAGGTGTTCTTCAAACTGTAAACATGAATTGTCTATGCCATGCTATAATGTTGGATTCAGAAAAAGATGTTGAAATGTCTGAAAGGTCGGACACAGGCGAGAGCGTATCGGGAGATGGAGACCAACAAGACCTCCCTCATCCTTGGCCCTATCTCAAAGAATGTTTTAGAAATAGTCGAAAAATTTAGCTTTTAATTCATATAGTGGCATCTGGCTGTTTTATTTAAAGGTTACTTTATATTTTTATACTTTAAGTTGTTTTTGGAGCACATACCGTACTTTTTCACTTTTACTTGGGTGAACAGGTCACGTTGATATATAGTATCTATACTTCTACTTAAGAAACAAATGTGTGTACTTTTGACACCACTGTCAAGTGGCAACAGACTTTTAAAAACCCTCAAAATCCCATGTGGTTTCATGGTAATGACAAATAAAAACAAAACAAAAAAAATTGTGAAAATACACTGGGATATATTATACTGTCAAATACTGGAATGGTTGGTGTTGACTATTAAAATTGTAATTTTCTGTAAAGTATGGACAGTAGACTTAGACTTAGCCAAACTTTTTTTTTATCATTTTGTATACACTGAGTGTATACAGAACAAAATTACGTTGCTTACAGCTTATAACTAACTATATAAATGAGCATTACCATTAGAAAGTGCAACAAAGGTCAGAATGTAAACGGTGTAGGAGAAAAGGAAACCAGTTTAGAAAATGTTGCAAGAGGGCATTGATATAAAAAAGTTCAGTGCAGTGCAAAATAAATACGGTGCAAAATGCAGTATACCATTGAGTTGTGTCCTATTTAAAAGGATTATAAAAGTTTCAGCCACATTGGTAGTGCAAAATAATGTTGCAAGTGTGATGCAGAGTCCAGTTTAGAGTTCAACGGTTCAAAAGTCTGATGGCCGCAGGGAAAAAGCTGTTGCAGAACCTGCTGGTCCTGCAGCGAATGCTGCAAAGCCGCTTCCCAGAGGGCAGTAACTACTTCTTATACTTAACAAATGTATTTTAGTGGATTCATACATTTGTATTTGTCAGAATTTTCCCTTTTTTCCTCCACACAGCCGTATGCTTCTATTCATATATAATTCAATCACATAATTTCCCATATTTAATGAATGTCAAATAAAACGCAGCAAATAGTGTTTGATTATATTCAGCTCATATCACAACAGCATCCTGTCAGCTGAAGGCACTATTATAGTCTTCTCCGTTTCCTGTAACGGTTTTAAAACCTATAGTTTAATTTAGCACTTCTTTGATAAACACTAAGGAAAAACCACGTGGCTCTATTTAACCCTGGCTTGAATTTAAAAGGTGAAAAGAGATCTTTGTCTTATAATCTTTGCTGCTACCATCAACGCCTTTATTTATAGATGTTTGTTTATAGATGTTGGAGATCGGCCAGTTTTTCAGTGTAGTCCTGTTTCTCTGACTGTGACTGGCTGGATGTGCTCTCTTCATCCTCTGACATGGGAGCTCAGAGCTCGTCTGCCTGGCTGTGTGTTTCCTGGACGGGGCCGCCTTTTACAGCTGATTTTGTATCTCTGCTTCTGTCTCCTTGAACCCCAGTCGGCCTCAGCAGATGGCCGCTCAAACTGAGCCTGGTTCTGCTGGAGGTTTCTTCCTGTTAAAGGGAGTTTTTCCTCTCCACTGTCACTACAAGCATGCTTAGTGTGAGGGATTGCCTTCGAGTCAATGAGTCAATGCAATCAACTGGTTTTCATAGATAGAAAACTTTGAATCAATATGATTGGATGATCTGGCGAACTGTAAAGTACCCTGAGATGACGTGTTGTAAGTTCGCGCTTTAGAAATAACTTGAATTTAATAAATTTTCTCTCTTTCTCTGTGGTGTTTCAGCAGAACATCTGCAGGTGCAGCAGCAATATGACTAAGAGAAGCCCATCTCTTCAGCTGGTTAAAAGGTACGTCCAGGGTCTGACAGATCGGAGATCACATTTATTGACAGTGTTCTTGATGTTAACATCAACCTAGGCTCATTTTTTATGATTAAAACAAACCGGAAATACCGGTAGCTGCATGATCTACTGGAGGGGAAACTCAGCTGTTGTTCACATTCAGGTTTTGACAACTTAAAGGTAGTCATTGAACTAGACTCTAAAAATTAGATTTCAGACATGTTGTTGCGGTTGGAAATGCCACGTTTTCCGGCATAAACACAACCTCTGATTGGAGTTGAACTAAATGGCAAATGAATTAGCCTTAAAATGAAGTAAAGCTGTGTGTGCGCGGTCCTTTCCGGAAGGTAATCGTCTCTAGTGAAAGTTTTATTGAAAGTAACCCTGGGTCAGTCCATGTTAGAAAACTACCCTTTAGAACATAATAAAATGCTCTGGGTTTCAGCAGATTTAAAATGATTTAAACTAACTTGAAGACTAAAAGAAAAAACACAACAGATTCCAAACAGCCATAATTTTATTTATCAGTTGTCATTTTAGTTGATTTTACAGGACTTTTCAGTAGTAAGATTGAAAGAGCTGTACAGGGAAAAATATAACTTTAAACATAGTAAATTAGTCTGAAATGTTGAATATAAACAACATTAAATGAGATATAATAGTAAGACAGATCTGACTCACTATTTGGCAGAAAAATGGTTGTTTTCATCTCTTGCCTGCCCTTAATGAATAAAAATAAACCCTTCAGAAGGACTTATAATATGTTTACAGATCCATTAATAGATCTAGGAGGGACGAACGATATAATCAACATGCCATCGGCGAGGCTAACTTTAAAACTAAATATCAACATCGGCCATTACATATTATAGCTAGCGGATCTATATAAGGCACCTTTTTTCCTAAAAAACATGTAAGGATTAAGCTGGCAGCTCCAGGAGGTTACACCAAACTGCTGCATGGGTCTGATGTAGCAGCTTTGATGTTTTTAAACGTTTTAGAAACAGATGGAAGAAAAAACAGATCTATACTAAAGTAAGTTATCCTTAAAAGTGAATTTGCCTGTAATTAGAGAAGAGAAATGAGATGATCTGCCAATGGAATGCAAATTGTAGTTTTACTTTGATACACTAAGCTTGTACGGTAGATGTGTTACCCAGGCTTTCAGTTTTTGAAAGCTTGCTTCTCTAGAGTCCATTGTCTCAGGATCTTACTGGAACCACTGTGTGAAAAAGTGCTTACTTCTGCTTGCATGCATGGATCTATATGCTAGCTGCAACTCTAGCTTTCTGTGTGGCAACAGACTACCTTTAACAGTTCCACAAACACAAGACAGACCACCTTTAACCTCCACAAAAATAACTGGAGGAAGAAATTTAGGGTCTAACTCTTATTAAAGGTATAGAGGACAATTTTTTATTTCCAAATGGATCATCTAAATAAGTGGTCCTCCTAATTACCAATCATTCTGGTGATATGTTTACATAAGGCCTTTCTACGCGTTCATCCCGTTAGCTTTATTTTTCTGCTCATGCGCACTATTAGGCGTATATCTTAGGGAACCAACGGTTCAAGCAATGAAACCCAACCTTCCCAAAGGGGGTTAGCTGAAAATGGCCGAGGCTCATAAAAGAAAAAGGGTCTACGAAGTGCCTGAGAAGAAGAGAAAGGCCTCAGAAGAGGCAGATATATCCCAGAATGCTTTGCATGGAGAGCTCTCCTCGCAAAGCATTGTGGGATTTACTGTCACAACGGCGACTAATAACATAGATGACGCAGGCACTGCGCAATGAATGAGGAGTTACATGACCAACGGGGAACAAAAAGCAGGGATCATCTTTCCAAATGATCAGTTAACTGACTTTACTATAAAGTTCACTATATAGTCCCCGCCCTATATAGTGATTGAGGGATTTAGAGGTTAGGGTGGACTTTTGGGCACAGTAAGCTTGTATGAGCTATGAGAACTGCAACTTTTAAACAGAGCGTGCGGAGGAGAAACGGGCTTGTACACGCTTTTGCGTGCTTATTTTCTTTAAAGTGGGGAGGGCGGGTCTTATTCCTGAACAATACCTTTAAATATAGTGTGATTAAAGAATTCAAGTGCTTCTGCGATTTGGACATTGCGTTTTGGTAATTGCGATTATATTGTAAATGCAGGTAAATCCCAGCCCTAGTTACATCAAGCCTGTAATGTATTTTGGTTCTATTCAGTAATTCCTAGACTAAAAGCAGTATTTAAAGTCTAAAGGTTGGTTTATACTCAGAAACCAGGTTGTCTGCGTGTGTTTCGCAGTTAACGCACCTATGCCCCGCCCCTTCCACAGACACTCTGGTGCACCTCTCTTTTTGTTGTTGTATTTGACCGCAGACAATGCCGCAGACAGAAGGCCCCTGTTTGGTCAAATCTACATCCGCTCGACACTATGCGTATTTCCTGTTTGGTACCTTACCGGCTTGCTTTGTTTGTATGACCACCATTGTGGAAAACGACTCGTGAAGATGGACCAGCTAGAAGAGCAAGGTGCACAAGAGCGCTTAGACCCTTTTTCCACCTAGATCCCCACTCATTTTGGCCCTTATGTCCCGCCGTTATTGCACAAGCTTGCGTTTTTTCCACTTCCTCACCGACTCGGCCGTATCTAGACACCACAGCTAGTTCCTGATTGTCCGTCTTGCGTTGTGGCATTGAATAACACAGCGCAGACCACGCTTCAATATTGGGCATAAATCAAAAATATCTGCGACAAGCTCACTGCGACTCACTGCTGGGGGAGGATAACCAGCCCTTAACCCTAATGATTTTTGCTCATAACATATATGATGTATTTCCTTACTTTTTTTGACACAATGAAAAAACCACATATTAGTTCTCTGCTTTAACATCCACAATGCTTTGCTCCATCACATTCATTGTCACATGACCAAACCTGAAACAAAAGCACCAAATATATAAAGACCAAAACGTACGAGTCTTTGCTCCTGGCTCCAGAGGAGGGTCTGCCCACTGAAAGGGAAGAGCATGTGATCAGGAAAACACGATTTGGAAATAATCCAATCCGTCAACCTTAACCTTAATCAACCTTAAAGGAAAATAATTGATCATTTTAAAACACAATCTGAGAAAACAGCAAAGTTGACCTCAAAGCCTTTTTTGGAATAAGAATTTTTAACAAAGTTCAAATGCTTGTTGGTTATGGAAAAGGGTTTTAAGATCACTTCTGAGCAGTTTGAAGTAGAGTTAGAGGCACTGAAGGTTTATTCACAATTGCAAAAACAATCAAGGCAAATTTCCATCATGAATCATCCCACAGCTACTCCAGTGGCTCCAAAAAGCCTGTCGTCAGACTCCAGAGTCTTGTTTAAGCCGGGCGTACACTGTGCGATTATTTTCAATCATTGCATGCAGATGCTGGTCACACTGTACGACTAAGCCAAAGTGTTCAGTCGTACAATGTGAGTACACAGCTCACGATTTATGTTCGGCCCGATGCTCTGATGCGATCTACCTGCTCACACTGTATGACTAAAAACCACGTTGGACTCAGCTCCAGATGGAGCTGCTCTAACACGTCTATACAGAAGCCAAATGAGTAGAAGAGGAACATAAAGCTCACTAGAGTGAAACACGTCGCCTTGGCAATTTGTGCATTTTTGTGCTGAAAGCCCTGAAAAGAAAAGGCGACAAGGTATTTGAACAAAGACATGGGTGAGCAAACGTGGCTAGTACGGTCTGTAAATTTAACTGACAGAACTGCATTTCACTCGCACCTGCCATGCTGCTGTGTTTACATCTGAGAGGAAGAAGAAGAAGAATCCTTCTTTGCGCCCTGAGCGATTTGCCCATGAACAAGTTTGATTTTTCTCCCGACCTCATGAATCCTGATCAGGAGATGGTCGTGAGAGGCTGATCGCCCCTCGTTACCCCCTGTGTACTACACGACTACCGACGCACGATCAGGCTGAAAGTCGGCCCGATCGAAAGATTCTTGCATGACTCGAAAATCGCCTGAAAATCGCACAGTGTATGCCAGGCTTTAGAGACAAGCACAGCACGCACAAAATCGCAACACATTGCCATGGAACCACCCCACCCCCTGCATAAAGAACTTTGTCACACTTCAACATTGAGGCAAAACAACTTCAGTTCATCAAGGACATTTCCTGTTAGGTTCATATATCTTCCACTATCCAGATAAACATTTCACAACATGGCAAGATGGAGCCTTAAGCTCCTTAGAGGGCATGTTATCTATATTTCACCCTTGTCTAGAGTAAGGAGGTAACTGCACTCTATCATCTCTACCATAAACATTCCAGCATAGGGCCTGGTACAAGATTTCTCTAAACTCACTCTTATTTGGCCAAGAAAAGGCACAATCTAAATCTTTCATCTCACAAATAGGCCGAGGAAAAACATGGTTTCACATTAGCTTGAGATAATTAAGCTTCTGTTTCATCTTCTAAAGCGAGCTGCTGAACGTTTCCTTTCTGAAACGTAACAGGATGCTGAACCATCACTGCAGAGGGAACCCCGACCTCCATGAGGAGCTGCAGATCCAGGCTGCAGTCGCAGCGGGGGACATCTGCACCGTCAGGAGGATGCTGGAGCAGGGGTACTCGCCCAAGATACGGGACGCCAACGGGTGGACGCTGCTGCACTTCTCCGCCGCCAAAGGAAAAGAGCGATGTGTCCGCGTTTTCCTGGAGCATGGAGGTCAGAACTTATAATTGTTTGGTTTAGTATATTGGAGCACAGAGGAGGGGACTGGTGCAATTCTGCCCCCTACTGGTCAGCCTGTGGTTACTGTGTAGTTACAGGGTGAGACCCAACCAGAAGGTTTCTGCTGGCAACTAAATGTGTTTGATGGTTTTCTGTCCTGTTAGTCCTGAAGGAAAATAACCTTCTACAGTTTGTTCTGTTTTTGAAAAGAAACAGTAATTAAATAAACAGCACTTGGAGCAGAAGTTCCCAAACTTATGAACTATTATGTTGCTTATAATAAACGTTTCCAGATACTGTGACAAAAAACAAAACAAAACAAAAAACACCAAACAAACAAATGAGACGTCATCCAGGTGTGTAATGGAGGCTGAGTCCTGGACCAACAGCCCTGCTTACTAACACTGAGTATCGGCATCATTAACATATTGAAGATTAGTGATGTAGAGGAAG